TCGAATGGACCAAACATTTGGGGCCCAACCCTGGGATATACGAGGCGGGGGCATCCATCCTCGATAGGGGTGCGTCCGAGTAGCCCCCTCGGGGTGTATCCCAGGGTTCCTCTCCTTTTCTTAGCCGCGTCATTCTTCGTCGAAAAGTCTGGGGTTGGGATGGGAGCATCGCCTGCGAACACGCCCGACTTACGTCCAGCTGGCACTGGGGCGAGCGCGCGATCTCCGAGCGGACCGTGAGGAGGCCCCCGGGCGAAGCGGCCGCCGGACTGGGCGGCCTCGGGCTCCCCGGCCTCCCCCACGTGGGACTCCTCTCTGTGGCCGTGCTGCGCTATGTCGGTGTTGGGCTGCTGGCAGAATCCTCTGAGCAGAAGTACACCCTGCGAAATGCTTAAGAAATCATGGGTTAAGAAATTCACAGTCTCAGAATGTAATGAAAACCCAGAATTTCTATCAAAATCTTAGGAATTAAATTGAAACGTTTAGAATAATCGAAACTCTGGCCGAAAACTTAGGTTTTCTTGTTCATCGCCTAAGGTGTAGGGGACTCCTCTGCGGTCTCGTTGTTTATGCTTGTGCTCAGCTGCTGGCAGAGTCTTCTGAGCAGAAGCAGGGGTACGAAAAGCTGCACAGAGCTGATAAAAAACTCGGAGGCCCGCTCGGACTTCTCGGATCCGCGCTGAACCCCCGTGGCGGCGCCTCCAGCGCCGCCCCTGGCGCGCTGCGCGCGCCAGGGGGGGGGGGGGGCCCAGCGCGGCTCCAAGAAATCCGCGCGGACCTCCGAGTTGTTTTATAATTATGTCATGTTTCGTCCCCTGAGAAACGCTATGAGGCAACACATGTCGCTGCTTCAGCGAGCAAAAATGCATGCGCTTGCTGCTGCATCATGCCCCGTACTATGATGGGCGGGGCGCCGGGGCTGCAGGACGCGGGCCTGTCAGTTCCTATGGTGTTCTTGGGTTTCTTTCCCCACCTTTGGGGGCCCAGCAATGGTTGTGGACGCCATGACAATGGACACCCTAACAGTCCTATCGTTGAATGAGAAGTGTTACATGTTTAATCATATGAAAAGCATCTAAAACAATGTTTAAGACTTGTTGCTACATGTTTAAGATGCGGCATGTGGTTAATACATGTGTTTCATACATCTGGGAATCAATTGGCAACATGCTTCCTCTCCACTGATCGTCGCCCACAAGGCAGTGGGCACTGACAACAATACACGGATGTGCCCCTGCCAGGAAGAAGACAGTCCTGTATTTCTGCGCTGGTGGTAATCTCTCGGCCAACTGCAAAGCCAACGCATGTCCACCATCACCGAGATCAGGATCTTCCGTCGGTGGAGGCACGCCGCCGATACTGGTGTTGGTGCCAACCTCCAGGCTTCCGACCCCTCGCCACGTCAAGGCGGTCTGTGGCGGGGGTGGAGGACAAGGGATGCCTGGTTCAGCAGCTGCTGTGCTAAAGCGGGGATTACCCTCTCTGTGCGGGTTGACAAAACTCTTGTGCACATGAGAGTGGCTCTCGTGGCTCGACCCGCTCGCGCTGGCCATTGATGCACGCCCGACGGCGTGGTCAGTGCTTGTGCACTGTGCTCTGGGCAGCAGGGGAGCATAGACTTGGGTCGGGCATGTCCTCCTACAGGCGGACTTTGGAAAAATGAAAAATTTGTATAAAAATACTCGAAAATTACCAAAGTTAAGAATCAAAGAATCGTCCCAAACTATTTTTCGCCTTTTTTGAATTTACCTCCTGAAGAAAAACATGCCCGACTCAATGCCCAGGGGCACCGGCCCTTCGGGGCCCTGGGCCCCCGGGGGATTTGGCTACCTCTTCCGGCAGTCCCCGCTCTCATGTGGCTCCTCCTCCTCCTCGCCACTTGAAGTAGCGGCGCCTGCACCTTTTACTGGAGGCCTCCCGCATGGGGTCCGAGTAGATGGGGTCGGAGGATCGCGCCGCATCGCCGATGCAGCGCGGATGCGTCGGCGATGCGCTGGCGATGCAGCGGCGATGCATCGGCGCCGCTGGCGTGGAGAAATCGGGTTCCACATCGAGCCGAATGCATGTCGGCAGTGCAGCGCAATCCGTCGATCCCATCTGCTCGGACCCCGTGCGGGAGGCGCGGGTTCCGGGAGCGACGGCTGCACCTTTCACACAGGAGCTGGAGAGAACCGCAAGAGTCGGAGGTCCCTCGCAGACGGGGGAGCGGGCCCTTGGCCAGAGGGAGACTGGCGGGGGCCGGAGCCAGCCCGAGAAGCAGCAGGGGCGAGGCCGCCGGGGCTGCAAAAGCGGGGGGGGGGGCCGCCAGGGCTGGAGAATGAGTGGAAGCTGAACGCCCGAAACGGCTACGGCCAGAATCGCCAGGATCTCAGGGGAGCGCACGGAGGGGGGTGACGGAAGGACGGAGGAGGAGGAGGAGGAGGAGGAGGAGGAGGAGGACGAGGAGGAGGAGCTCGTATCAGGAGGGTCCGCGGTAAGAATGCAAAGGGCCTCGGTTGGCCACGTTAACGTCTTTCGAGTGAGGTCGGCCAGCGAAGGTTGCCAAAGATGGGTCAAAGGGAAAAGGACGTGAGGGCAGACTCGGAAAATCGCTCATCCTTACTATGCGGGTTGACTGCACCCAAAAAACTCACACGGAGCCAAACAACCAATGTCGTCCAAAACCGACAGCGGCCGCTGATGGGCAGGCGGCCCCCTGTCTCAAAGGAACAGCGCCCGCGACGACACCGACAACGGATCCTGCTCGAAATGAACCAGAACTGTTGTCGGCCTTTGTACCAGTTCTGTCCGTGCCCACTTCGATCGCCCCGACTGGAGAACGAGTGGAAGGGCTGGCCAAGGCCTCTCATCCTCCTTCTGGCTTCCCTGTTTGCGCATCCCCCCCCCCGGCCTCGCGCCCTGCGCGGCTCGCGCGCGGAACGGGGGTGCGCGGGCCTCGCGTCGCAGGCAACAGCGTGCAGCACCGACCTCCGCACAGCGCGCCATCCCCCAAAAGCACGGCTTCCTCCGTGCACGCCAACCCCGCGAGGCGGCCCCCCGGCCGCAGGGATCCTTCCGAGCACGCTGTCTCCCCCTGCCGGGGCTGCCTCCGTGCAGGCTGCCCCCCGGGGAGGGGCATGGTGTGCGTGATGCACGGGCCGGCAGCGCCCCATCGCACGCCATCCTTGCAGAGCCAGCCGTGGGGCAGGCTGCTCCCCCCCCCTTGCCGGCGCTGGGACGCCCCTTCCCCGTGCCTTCGTCGGTGTCGTGCGCGCTGCTCTCTGCCAAGTGATCCAAGATGCTCCTCGACGGTCACCGCCGAGAGAAGCGTGCACGCGTCGAGCGATGCCGAGCCCCTGGCCTCACCTCTTCGGCGGGGCCAGGGCCTGCTTGATTCAGCGCCCTCTTGAGCTATCTATCCCGCGTCGCCACGCTCCGCGCTGCGCCAGGGGCGTCGCGGGGGGCGGACCGGCTGTTCCTCTGCACGAGGGCACCCAACTTCGCGCTTCGCGCTTCGCGCTGCGCGAATCGCGAATCGCTTCGCACTCTCGCGCCGCCCCCCCCAGGGGCGAGGAGGAGGAGGAGGAGGAGGAGGAGGAGCCCGAGCCGAACCGGCACGTGGTGCTTGGTGGTCACCGCCATGGGCAGAAGCACCGCGTTGCGCGCGGCTGCAGCGAGTACTTGGGCCTAGGCGATACAGCACTCACACGCAAGTGCGCGTGACCGTGCAGTAAAATATAATGGTAAGGACACAGTAGGCTCAGGATATCTAGCACGACGTGCCCATTAACGTCGAAGTACATTGGGAGGCGGGTGGGTACTGCAACCGAGGGTGGTGACAATGTTTGATGCAGCAGGCGCTCCCCCAAAAGTGTCGGTAGCAGTCCACGTATGTACGCCTGGTATGCTAAGCTGGATCTGCACGGTCCAAGTCCTGCCAGTAGATGTTCCAACGCATCGTATCTGCACTGTCGGGCTAGGTGCCGCCGGTCTTGGGGACGGGGCTGGACAGTCTTGGCTGTTCGGCGTAAAATACTATTTGGGCGTAGTTCGTGTGTGTCGTTTGCAATATGCGAAACATGTGTTTGCGGACTGTGGTCCGGTTTTCATGCCTGCTCTGTGTCGTCGACGGCTGGTTCGGTGACGGTATACGGCTCCTCCTTGATGTCAATTATGTCTATAGGGTCGTATTATGGTCTTGATATATCCGCCTCCATCCCCACAAAATATGGTTAATTGTGTCGTTCTTGATCCGTTATTTTGCAGACAATGATCGGTTGCACGTGGACTTGTTCAGGAGTCGTGGCCTATTCAAAGTATGTGCGACCACGCACTCGCAAAAAAGGCCAATGGAATCGCACAATGTTGCCGGGTATTCATTCAGTGGCACAATGCTGAAATGGCCTCTTGTTTTGTCGTAGTCTAGTGCCGTGACATGTCAGCCTCTGTGATTGCATCCTTCGCTCTTCTCCCTCGCCACCAGTGCTGCTCTTGCCGTAGGATAGTGTACGCACAGGTGTGCCGTAGGTTTCCTGCTGCGGCTTACGAACATACACTGGTCGAAGCGGATAGTGTAGACGCTTGGGCAGGTGAGTTGGCTTTCGTCTCTAGCAGGTTCCATGTTCATGCGCATCTCGGTCTGAATGTAGGTGTAGAAAGATGCTCCAACGCTGCGCCTGCCCTTCCTCCTCCTCCTCCTCCTCCTCCTCCTCCTCCTCCTCCTCCTCTCCTCCTCCTGCCTCCTCCTCCTCCTCCTCCTCCTCCTCCTGCCTCCTCCTCCCTCCTCCTCCTCCTCCTCCCTCCCTCCTCCCTCCCTCCCTCCCTCCCCCCTCCCTCCCTCCCTCCCTCCTTCTCCTCATCCTCCTCCTTCTCCTCCCGTTCTCCTCCCCCTCCTCCTCCGCCTCCGCCTCCCTCCCCTCCTCCTCCGCAGATGCCGAAGCCTATTTCCCCAGGGCCGCAGCGCGGTCCACAGGCCCGCCACGCTCGCCCCGGCGCGCGCGGGGGGGCGAGGGGGGGCACGCTCACTGGCGAACGAGGCCGGACTCGTGGCGGGTGTATTCGGGCTTTCTAAGACGAAGCCAGGCCGAGTATGACATCAGGTGAGGATGAATCAAGAATCTGTGAGATCTAACGGATTGGAGGATGTCTGGGGCGCCGTGGCCTTCTCACAGCGTTCCAGATCGCTCTGAGAGCGTCCCGGAACGCTCTGGAACGGATGCATCCTCGTCGTAGCCCCGTCCGAACCATACTGACCCGGGTCAGGACACACCCGGGTCAGTCAGGCTGTGCAGGATCCTGTCTGCAAAATCCTGCGTGCTAGCCCAGGTCAGTGCACCTGGATCTGCAAGATCCTGCAAGATCCAGCGCTCTGGCTGACCCCCGTTTGGGGAGACCAAAAGGTGCCGATACAGCTACTCCCTGGACCTCTCCTGGGGTGCGTTCTGACCAGGATTTCGAGGCGAATCCAGCCGTGGCGACGAGGGCCTCCCAGGAGGCCCAACAAGGGGGGAAACGAGGAGTATGGGTACCTTTTTCTCATCTGACCGTTTGCATTGACCCCCGTCTCAAGGCTCTCGATCTCTTCTCTGCTCTACCCACTGGCCGCGGCGGGACGGAGGGCAGGTCAGGCTACACGACGTCAAGCCGACAGGGCATCAAGCCGAGATTCGCAGCGAGAGAGAGAGAGAGAGGGAGAGGGAGAGAGGGGTGGACTGGAGGCATCTCCTGCGGCAACTCGCAGGACGCTCCCAAGCCATCTTGCTGGCTCTCGCGAACCGACGCTCATCGACGCTAAGTCGACGCTAAATCGACGCAAAGTCGACGCTAGCCGACGCTAGTCGACGCTAAACTGGCGCTATCTCATCGATTATTGGACATTAACTGACGCTAACGCACTCTAAAGACAGAGTTGCGAAGGTCTAAATCGGCGCTGATCGACGCTAGCCGACGCTAAACCGGCGCTGTCGCATCGACTACTGGACGCTAATCGACGCTAGCGTACTCTAAGGACGGAGTCGCGAGGGTACACCGAAGGCTCCCATGATCTGCTATACCGAAGGCATCTGCCCTCCCAATCCGATGCCAGGTCGATAAACAAACCTCATGCGAGCGAAAAAAAAGAAACGATTCTTGCGCGAGATGTCACGGTGATCATTACGCGGTGGCTTACAGCCCTGGGACAGGCGTCCCCGACAGCGAAAAAGCGTGTGTTACACCGTCCTTCGCCCGTGAATTGCGTTGTCGTTGTGTGTTCGTCTTCCCTCGCTTTCTGCTCCATCAGCCCAGTGCTGCAGCACGGAGGCGAGCCGAAAAAGCGGCTCCCACGAGGTCGCCAAAAAACACCGTTCGGGATCGAGCCCTGGAGGCCCGGCAAGGGGGCTCCTGGGAGCCGAAACGAACTCGAGAGGAGGATCTGGAACCCTGACCTTCCAGGAAAGCTAAAAAATAACACCAGGACGTCGACGCCCTGATTCCTGTCGAGGCTTGAGGCAGTCCAGATAGATCTATAGTTAGGTCGGGCATGAACCCCTACAGGCGGATTCTGGACGACACATTAAAACATGTCAACCAAATACTCACTCAAACATAAGCAAAATCGAAAGATTGTCCCCAGACTGTTGTTTGACGATGTTCGAATATTCATCCTGTAGAGGCACGTGTCCGATTGAAATATATAGGTAGGGAGTGTTATTTTAAAGGGGCCCAGGGACACACAAATAAATACACACACACAAACAACAGGATTCCCTATATTTTCCAATCTTTTCTGGGTTTATGCATCCCCCCCCCCACTTCCCATATTTTCTTATATTTTCTGGGGAATCGACGATTAATTGTGTCTGTGTGTGTTTTTCCCCTCCTGAAATGTATAGGTCTGGAGTGTTGTTTTGTTAGCACCCTGGAAGGTCAGGGAATGGCCGCCAGAAGGCCGCCGAGAAGGCCGCTGGAGGCCGCCGAGGGCGGCAGCGCGCACGACAGGCGCAGGTGCCTCGGGGGGGGGGAGGAGGAGGAGGAGGAGGAGGAGGAGGAGGAGGAGGAGGAGGAGGAGGAGGAGGAGGAGGAGGAGGAGGAGGAGGGGGCCGCGGAGGGGGGCCAGAGGCCAGGGGGGCGCGGGGCGCGGCCGCCGGTGAAGGGGCCAAGATCTTCTCTCGTCTCTCGTCTCCAGCCCTCCTCCTCCTCGTTCTCCTCGTCGCCACGCACGGCACCCGGCCGATCCTCTGCTGCTTCGTGCCCTAGACGTCGCTCGGAGGTCTGTACTCGGCTCCGTTGGCGTTTACAACCTCCTTCTGGACAGTATAGCTGCGGCCCGGGACACACAAATAGACAGGCACAAGTCCCAGGATTCCCTGTACTTGTCCATGTATTCAGGGTCTTCGTCTTCCCCATCCAGCTTCCACCGTTCCCCACGCTTCCTTGGCCGTGGGCGTTTATCTGTGTCTGTGTCTGATTTTCCCTCCTGATACACGGTGAGGGCAGTGCAGAAAGAACCATTGGATAAGGAATCCAAGGTCTGGAAGCCAGGGGAGCACAAACTGAGGCGTGGCCACGGATATCACTGCCGCCCCGGCCAGATAGGGAATCCCCCAGGGTCTGAAGCCTCCTGGGCGAATTCCTCAACGAACGCCCCCACCGTGTAGGCAGGAGAGCCCAGAATCGAATCGATAAGTCGAATCGGCGATCGAAATGAATCGGATCGAGAGAAGTCGAATCGACGGAAATCGGCAGGCTGATGAGGTCCCCGTTGAGAAATCGGAGCCCACATCGGAATCCGAAATCGAGTCGATTCGGAATCGATCGAAATCGAGTCGAATAGAATCGAGCAGGGGAAAAATAAATGGACGCGCTCCTTGTCCTCGCCGGACAGGAAAGCCTTGGCGGCCTGGATCGCCTGGCGGGACGACGACGGCGACCGCCGACGCCGACGCCGACGCAGCCACCGCCGCCGCCGCCGCCGAAGACGACGACGAAGACGAAGACGCCGACGACGACGACGACGACGACGACGACGACGACGACGACGACGGCGACGACGACGACGACGACGACGACGACGACGACGACGACGACGACGACGACGACGACGGTATGAATCGCCTGGCGGGACCACCACGGCGGCGATCAAGATGACGATGACGAAGGAAGTCCAAAAGGGGGATACGGCATCCTGTCTCGCTCACCAATCCAGCCCTGCTCCTTCCCCTCTGCCCCCAAGAGAGCCCAGAACTGAGTCGACAAGTCGAATCGGCGATCGAGATGAATCGGATCGGCGGAAATCGACAGCCGAGTCGGGAAAAGTCAAATCGGCGGACATCGGCAGTCCAGTGTGCCTCCGATACGCGATCGGAACCCAAATCGGAATCCCAAGCCGAATCGAATCGGAACCGGAAGCCATCGAAATCGGATCGAATCGAATCGGAGGAATCGATGAGTATCGTTTCACCAATCCCCATCCCCAGCGGCGCGGCCCGGGCCCCACTGGTCGATTTACCCCCCAAGATGGGAATATAGGCCGTTCCATTCGGGTTTCGAGGGGTGGATCCCCCACTGGGGTGGTGATTTGGTGGGGGCCTCGAAAGGGGATGGGGACGGGGATGGGGAGCGGCTGAGCGATACCGAATCGGAACGAGAGCCCCTCTGACCCCTCCGTGAGGACTCCGAGGGCCAAGGCCTCGAGCGTAAGGGGAGGGGGACGGGGACGGGGATCGGTTGAGCGATACCGAATCGGAACGAGAGCCCTGCTGGCCCCTCCGTGAGGACTCCGAGGGCCAAGGCCTCGGGCGTGCCTCGCCCTCTCTGGGGGCATCTGCGATGGGGAGCGCTTGAGCGATACCGAATCGGAACGAGAGCCCCGCTGGCCCCATCCGTGAGGACTCCGAGGGCCGAGGCCTCGGGCGTGCCGCGCCCTCTCCGTGGGGGCAGCCGCGGGGCCCTCCGTCGCCCACGGCCGGGGGGCGCCTGGGAGCTCACGGCCAAAGCGCACCCCGGGAGAGAAGGCTCAGAGGTCGACGCTCGCGGGGCTGTTGTCGTTTTTCGTGCTGCTGTCGTGCTGCTATCGTTCTGTTCTTCGTTCTGTTATCGTGTTCTTCGTTCCGTGAGTGCTGTTCTTCGTTAATGTTATCGTTATGTTTGCGATCGCTGTGAGCGCTGTTCTTCGTCCTGTTCTCGTTCTGGTGTTCGTTTTGCTCCACCTTTGCGCTCCTGCGCCTCCCTGCCAAGACGAGGAGCAAAAAACTACGGCCGGAGCCCGGCAGGGCAGCGTTCGGGTCCGGCCCTGCCGGCCAAAGCACACCCCAGGGGAGGCTCAGAGGTCGACGTTCGCGGGCCGGCGAGGAGGAGGACGAGGAGGAAGATGAAGGGGCCCTGGGACACACAAATAAATACACAAATAACAGGACTCCCTATATTTTCACAAATTGTCTGCGTTTCGGTCTGCCCCCCCATTTCCCATATTTTCGCATATTTTCCTGGGAATCGAGAATGAATTGTGTCTGCGTTTGTTCCCTACTGAGAAGAGAGCGCTCGGTTCGGTCCCTCGGCCGCCCTCGCGTTTGGCCCCCCGTGTCGGCTCCCTCCTCCCCCGTCGCCGCGCTCGTCGGCCCCACGAACGGCCGGACCGAGCCGTTCTCCGAATGCCCTCGCCTAAGACGAAGCCAGGACGAGAGTCAATTCGGGGGTGAGGACAAAAATCGAGAATCACCGAGATTTGGCGGCTCTGGAAGTTGCCTCCGGCGCCGCGGGCCTTTCCAGAGCCTTCCCGAACGCTCCGACAGCGCTCCGGAACGCCTGGAACGCTCTGGAACGGATTACGTAATCCTCGTCCTGGCCCAGCCCGAGTTCTCCAAATGCCCCGCCCCTGTGCCTGCCAGAGCAGTAAGTGCAGGGAGGGGGCGATGGATGCAGCTCTACGGAGAGCCTACAATCAAAGGAGCCCTGGGACACACAAATAAATTGACAAAAATAATAGGATTCCCCATATGTTCTGGGTTTTCGTCTTCCCCCCCCACTTCCCATATTTTCCCATGTCTTCCTGGGAGTCGACGATTAATTGTGTCTGTGAGTTTCTCCCTCCTGAGTGTCCCCCTACAGGGGCGGATTTTGGACGTTTGTTGTGTTTCATGTTATATATATATATAGAAATAAATAAATAAATGAATCCTCAAATAATGCCCAAAACTAGCCAGAAAATCGTCCCCAGACTATTTGTTTTGACTACTCTTGCATACTCCTCCGGCAGAGGGACGTGCCCGACTCCAGAAGTGGAGGCCCCGAGAGGCCCCGCGGACCAGAGGTGGCCCCAGACCCTCGGGCTCGCGCGCGAGAGAGGCCCTGGGCTCATGCTGCGCCCGTCGTACTTAAGGACCACATCCCAGAAATAATCTCGAGGAGGAGGAGGAAGAGGAGGAGGAGCGCCCAGGAAAAGTGTCGAAACATTGTCGAAACAGTGTCGGACGAGTGTCTCCCAGGGCCCGGCACGTGAAGAGCATCGAGTCCCGATGCTCTTCTCTGGTGCTCGAGGTCCCCTCTCGCGCTCCCGAGCTACAGGAGGCTGGAACGTCGCAACCCCGGGGCAAGAGCGGCCCGGCGGCACCGCAAGAGTGGCCCCGGGCAAGCGCGGCCACGCAAGAGCGGCCGAGTGGCCCCTGGGTTTCTGTCTTCCCCCCCACTTCCCATATTTTCCCATATGTTCTGGGAATCGAAGATTAATTGTGTCTGTGTGTTTTTTCCCCTCCTTAAAGAGCGGCCCCAGGCACCGCAAGAGTGGCCCCATGGGCAGGAGCGGCTCGGCGGCACCGCAAGAGTGGCCCCCAGGGGTGCGCAGCCCGCCGCCCTCGGCCCGCAGCTTTTGCCAGGCTCGGCGCCCCGCGCCGCGCGGGAGAGGCGCGCGGCGCAGGCCGGTGCGGCGGAGGGTTTACGCCTGCAGTCACTGGCCCGACCTAAGGAACGATACATAAGGAACGAAGCCCCTTTATTTAATCGCTTCGCTCATGCCGCCGGGGGTAGTCGATTGCGGCTCCCCCCTCGGGGGCCACGATCCTCGTGAGGGTTGTCGAAAAATACCCTCCCCTGGAGTGGGCTGGTGGCTTCTCCCGGGCTTCTCTCGGGACCTTGCCGGGGTACTTTTCGTCCGGGGGCCCCCAGGGGCCGCTCCGCGCGCGCGAACTAGAAATATTGTTAACAAGTTACCGGAGATCTTAGCACGCCTCTGGCCCGTTGGGCCGGCGAATTTCCAGGGAATAACGCACAAGGCACGAAAATGATAAACAACGCATAGGGAACGATATACAAAAATGGATTTCAAAAATGACAGTTGTTGGAGCATTGTCTGGATATGTTTGAACGCTCCTCCTGCAGAGGGACAGGCCCGACTTGAGACAAGACCAGGCCAGTGTGGGCAGGGCCAGCATGCGCTACCACGACGCAGCGCGACAGCGGCGGTGCTGGCCGCCCGGACGGGCTGTGTCGCGATCGTGATCCTGGGGGGGGGATCGTGCTGGGCTTCGCGCTCCAAGGGCTCCCAACTTCGCGCTTCGCGCTGCGCGAAGCGCGAAGTGCGAATAACTTCGCGCTCTCGCGCCGCCTCCCAAGGGAGAAGAGGAGGTTGAGGAGGAATCGGAGCCGAACCGCGAAGCGCGAAGCGCGAATAACTTCGCGCCCTCGAGGGCGCCCTTGGCGCTCCCTCCGCCTGCAGGAGGCCTTCCCGGTGTGAGCGGGGTGGCCCGTGCACAGCGTCCCGGCACCAGGATTAGGTCGGGCGTGTCCCCCCACAGGCGGATCGCCTGATTGGGCGACGAGCTCGTGAGGAGACTGGGAGCTGAGTGCCACGAGGTGCTGCCGCCGGCTGCCAGGGAAGCAGCCCTGGACAGCGTGTCCGGGGGGCGCGGGGAAATGTCGCGGGCCCTCGTCGGGGTGAATCAAGGCCTGAAGAGGTGACAACAGGGTCCTCTGCGATGGGCCTCCCCCAGCAGGCTCTGTTGGAATGAAGGGACCTCTCCCCCACCCTCATCTAAGTTGAATCTCATAGACGACCCAGACAGCCGCGAGGGAAAGTCGTTAAGAAGCACATGCGTTGAAATATGCTTCGATACCAGGGCCGCGTCCCGTTTCCTCTGTGCACGCTTCGACTGGAACGGAAGAGTATTCACAAGGAGATTGAGAACAAAGGTCGCCAAACCGACTCGCAGACCTGGAGTTCCTTGCAGCCTCGACGCCCACTGAGCGAAGAGCATAGACAAGAAGAAAGTAACGCTGGGCCTTACCATTCCGGCAGGTCTTCTCTGGGTCGCGGATTCTGAACACGCCGTTCAACTCGTTTGACTCAGCTGAGACGAGTCTAGAGTGAGCATTACCTCGTCCTCATCATCAGCATAATCACCATTATCATCCACGCCATCATCATCATCATCATCAGCATCATCATCATCATCATCATCATCATCATCATCATCATCAGCATCATCATCATCACCACCAGCCCCACTACCATCACCATCAGCATCCAGACTGACAATGCAACTTATCAT